ACACATGTGTATATTCTTGTTTTTTTCGCTCTTTGCTGGGTGTGGATGTCAGTGGGGTATCAGTAACCCTTATCTGGGGCTTCACTCTTCCTAAACTAAACCACCGAAATGTAGTGCACATGTTCCTTCCTGACTGCGGCGACTTACCTTACACCCACATACCACAGTTGCATTTTTCCCACGATTAGCAACGAGTATTTGCTTGGAGTGACTTGCAAAATGACCTACCATGCAGCACAAAGAGATCTGGAGGAAATGTAAACGGTATCTTTAACTCATTATTTTTTTAGATAAATGCGAAGTGGATTTGGTTATTTAAAATCATATTGGAATATGTTAAAATTAATGTGCATAGCCTATGGAAAAATGTCAATGAATATTCATGACTATCCGTTTATCAATGTAATTTTACCTATCATACATGCATATGTAGGCCTATAAGAACACACACACAAAGCCATTAATTATATCTATCTCTATATATGTTTATCATTCTCAATGTGCATACATATATATATGGATTTTTTTATTGTCTCGTCGAAATTCTTAAGACACCAGCGCACCACTAGAATACATAAAAGCCAAACATTGCGCTTAAATTTTTCAATTAGTGCAAGAGTCAATGTCAGCACATCCCCATGGCTGTATGATGTTAATCCAGTAACTAACTTGGAGTCAAGTGAACAAGCGTGACATGCATTATGAAGACAAGAGAAGCCCGGCCAGAATATCCCTCAGTCCTTCTGCTCAGCCCGTTGTGCCCGCATACCCTCAACAAGATCTCACGCGAACCCCACAGAAGCAATAAAACAACAAAGACAAACAAACTCTTCATGTCCTCACGATGAGCAAATACAACTTGCAGAACCGCTTACCGAAAACCAGCATAGAGGACTCTTCGGTCGTAATCCTATCCGTCTCAGGCATTGATAACAAGGCGTATGAAGGACCCCTAAGCGTAGATCCCCAGCGCCCGCATTCCGACGCGCTCGAGATCGAATATGGGGTCGAACCACCCGTTCACCGTTCAGTCCACGGGGATACTGCACAGGATAGGATAAGTGGAGGATGTCGGTGGACCCAGGCAAGCAATGGATATGATCGCCTATCTGGGCTTATTTCAGACGGATGGTGAAGGGTGGCAGGGCTGGGTGACCCAGTTGGCCCAAGACCTTAAAGGAAATATTTTGACACGTTTATTTAGAACTTGTGTTTTTCTGGAGATCGTTTATTTTTTTTTTCTAGTCCGTTCTTCAAAGTTTTGCTAAAAGGATTGTTTTCTTTGACGATGTTCTTACGACGATGTCTTACTACGTGAAGGAAATTTAACTTAAGATTTTTTTTTATCCTGGACTTTCATAAGTTATAAGGAAGAAAGAAAAACAGAATAAAAAAAAACTCATAGACCTAACCTAAAGAATCAGCCACAAATTTCTTTGAATAATGCTTAAATACTTGATAAGACATTCAATCGTTCAGTTAAAACTCATGAAAGAAATTAATAAAACAAAACTGGATTCATTATAGAAACTCGCGCGTGAAGGCATTGGTTAATAAAAAGTACAGAATGCTTTCATTGTAAAATTTATGTTCCAAGTAAAATATGTTGTTACTGTGTGAGTGAATGAGTGTGTATGTGAGTGGATGATGTGTGTGTGTGTGTGTGTGTGTGTGTGTGTGTGTGTGTGTGTGTGTGTGTGTGTGTGTGTGTGTGTGTGTGTGTGTGTGTGTGTGTGTGTGTGTGTGTGTGTGTGGTGTGTGTGTGTGTATACATTTATGTTTGTGTTCATGCATATACGCAAGTGCATCTACGTGTGTGCCTTTAACACTTAAACCCTCCCCCCTACTTACAAAAACCCGTTACTTTGAGGTCCTGGCGGCGCTGCTGATTTCACTGGTCCACCTGGGACTCGGCACCATCTACGGGTATTCGGGCGTGATGTTGCCCGAGCTCACCGACCCCCGGGGCACCAGCGACCTCCTCCTCAACGAATCACAGGCAGCGTTATTTAGTATGTATCATTCAGAAAACTCGTAAGGAAAACGCATATCATTGTTGACATAAAATATATGGGAAAGGCTAGATCAGTAGCAATTCGAGGAGGTCATGACGTCAGATTTTGATGACGTCACAAAAGTTGCGATTCTGTTTTGATTTATTTTGATGGCGGCATCCACGAACTGGCCGGATAGCCCGCTCTGCTGGCAAGAATTATGCCATAAAAGTGAATGGACAATTTTATTGCGAAACTGATAATGATGATAATAATACTCGAATTAAGTAGTGCACGAAATTCGTGCACTACTGGACGAACGGTGAATATGGTCAATCATTTTGGTCTTTTCAATTTTCAAAAAGGATGGAAAATAATGATTTTAGCGGTTATATTTTCATTGAACAATCATCAAAATAGCCCTGTGGACGAGAAGAGTGGGCTATTAGTTTATGCAAGGATAATTCTCAAATGAAATTGCTCGCAGAGGGAGTCAAGCCATAGGCCTGTGTCTTTTACTCACCTTGCTGGAATTAACTTTACCTACTTTTAGAAATACGACCATGCACTCAATAAATGAATGGATGGTATTTTATTTAATGTGTAGGATACTAGGTCAACAAGACTTTATGAAGTCAAAAACGCCTGAAAAGCCATTGAAACTAACACTGTTGGATATTGCACAAAATGTAAACATGAACATGTGCTATTCTAAAAATATCCCGGCCTGGTATGCTGTACATTAAATGAAATACCGTTCATTCATTAAGTTTCCATTCTTTTTGAAAATTGAAAACACCAAAATAAATGATAAGCCCTATGTGCTATTTTCCCAAAACAAAGGCGCAACTTTTGTGACGTCATCAAAATCTGACGTCATAACCTCTTCGAGTTGCTACTGATCTAGCCTTTCCCTAAAATATATGATTGATATTACGTGTGGGTATATTTCAGATGTCAAATAAGATGTAAATATTATCTTACGTTTTAACAATTCGCGTACTAATGATGAAGAAATAAAGGCAGATGTATATACCCCATATATATATATATATATATATATATATATATATAATATATATATATATATATATGTATGTGTGTGTGTGTGTGTGTGTGTGTGTGTGTGTGTGTGTCTATCCATCTATATATACATCCATACACACGCACACACACACAGACATATATATATATATATATATATATATATATATATATATATATATATGTATATATATATATATATATATGTATATATATATGTGTATATATGCATGTATGTTTTATATATATATATATATATATATGTATGTATATATATACATATGTATGTAAATGTACTGTGTACACACACACACACACACACACACACACACACAGGTAGGTAAGTAGACAGCTAGATATATATGCATTTATTTCTGAGTATATGCATTTGCCAACCTTAGCCACGATGATCATGACTATTGACAACTTTTGATGTGGGTCAGGAAGCGTGACTACTTTAAAAGAAAACTATAAGATTGTATCCACACTTCAGTGAAAACTCCATGAAGGCTCGTGTTGCACGGGGAATCATGTCTAGCTGACTACCTGCAGCCACTGTTAAATAAACCAATCTTACCATGTGCTGAAGATCGATACAAATAAATCTAAAGTAATTCTCCTTAAACTGTTTATAGTGGCCAGTTAATATATCAGCTGTGCATTAGAGGTGGACTGCAGCACTGCAAATCAACACAAGTCACCTGCCAAATATGGTGTGAATTGCTGTTAAGTTTAGGTTTCCAACTGGGAAGTTAATTGGAGACATATACACTAAAGTTTCGATTTTTCACATTGCAATTACTTATTCATTTATTTTACTTATGTGCTTTGCTTGACTGAGTGACCGTGAATACCAAAAATAATCTTGTATGCTGTTGTGTATTAAAATAATTCTTATGTCAATGAATAGTTGTATAAGCATCATAAAGTCATATCCTTGATGCCTTATAATGAAACTGAATTGTATTTGATTAGTTAAAGTAATTAATTAGGTATTAGAAATATCTGAAAAAAACTCCCTGTACCTTTTCCTTTCAGCCAGTATGGCAGACCTTGGAGGTTTCTTTGGCTCAGTCCTCAATATGGCGCTGCTGATGAGGCTGGGACACCGCGTGCTCCTGCTTCTCTCCCTTCCTATCAGCGCTTGTGCTTGGCTCGGTGCTGCCTTTGCACACACTCCGGCGATGCTGCAGACCATGCGATTCATCGTGGGATTAACCGGAAGCTTCACGTTACCTGCGGGGAATATGTATATTCTAGAAGTTTCTCACAAGAAGCTTCGGGGTCTTCTGTTTGGCTTAGTGACAACCAGTCGACAGGCGGGCAATCTACTCATCTATGCTATAGGGAGTCTAGGGTTGGGATGGCGCACCACAACCCTCATCTGTGCCGGGGTGGCCATCCTGCCCGTCCCTGGCCTTCTGTTCCTGCCCAATTCACCACGGTGGTTGATTACCCAGGGACTTCTCAGTGAAGCTCAGAAGTCACTTACGTTTTACAGAGGCGCTCTTTATGACTCAGAGCCCGAAATGAATGCCATAATGGACCAAATCGGAGAAAATGGTCCTGAAAAGAATAGTATAATGGCTCAATTAAGGATGATGGCCGATCCATCCACTTTGAAAACCCTCCTGTTACTCCTCTTTATATCTCTGCTTTACAATTTCACTGGTTATAACGTGCTGATAGCTTACATCGTACCAATCTTACAATCAGCTAGTATTCCTATGGACGCTTACGTGAGTGCCATGCTGATTGGCGCTGTGAGGGTAGCAGGCACTGTGGTCCATCTCGCTGTGGTGGATCGAATGGGTCGTAAGCCTTTGCTAGTGTTGTCGTACGTTTCGTGTGCTTTTTGTATAGCTTGTCTGGGAGGCTATTTCTTTGTTCAAAATACGTCTGGATACGTAAATTCCTTCAACTGGGTCCCTCTGACCTCCCTCGTCATTTTCGTCTTCTTCA